GTAGGGATGGCCAGCCGTCCCTCCCTCAAGGGGCAGCAGCCGTCCCTCCCTCAGGGGGGGGGGGAGCCGTCCCTCCCCCCGTGGGGGGGGGGCCTGCCGTCCCTCCCCCAGGGGGAAATGGCCAAATATTTTTACTGGAGGCGACGACTCCGGTTACTGCCTCCCCTTACACTTCACACACGCCGCCCTCTCTTCCCCTGCTGAGGTGTTGGGCACCCTGCACGCCCATACCTCCCCAACCCCTACTGGGGTGCTGCCCATACCTCCCCAACCCTACTGGGGCGCTGCCCATACCTCCCCAACCCTACTGGGGTGCTGCCCATACCTCCCCAACCCTACTGGGGTGCTGCCCATACCTCGCCAACCCTACTGGGGTGCTGCCCATACCTCGCCAACCCTACTGGGGTGCTGCCCATACCTCGCCAACCCTACTGGGGTGCTGCCCATACCTCGCCAACCCTACTGGGGTGCTGCCCATACCTCCCCAACCCTACTGGGGCGCTGCCCATACCTCCCCAACCCTACTGGGGCGGGTGGTTAATGGTGGAGGTGTAGCCTGTGGCCACAGTGAGAGGCAGGGCACCTGGGGGCCGGCAGCACTCGGGGTTGTGTGGTGGCTGGTCACGGTTCCAGGTGTTTTTGTTCTACCACAGACGTGGCCAGACATTTACAATGCTAACCAGAATATATATACATTGTCTTCTGTCCTCCATGGACAGGGTGAGAGATCTGTTAAACATATAGTTCAGGGGTTTATTGAACAATCAACCACAGGAGGTGATTGTAGTGCTCTTAAAATGCTAATCTAACCTACAGATATAAATACATAGCACTCTTGGTAGTCATGGTAACTGATACAGATATAAATACATAACTTTCAGTCTGTCCTACATAAAGAGTGTTCGAGGTCTCTTTATATATAGTGTCATTAATGTGCTTTACAAAGGTGAAATGAAATTTTGACCAGCTTCCACATATTTTGTATACACAAACATGTACATGTACATATATATATATAACTGAAAACTCACACCCCAGAAGTGACTCGAACCCATACTCCCAGGAGCAGCACAACTGGTATGTACAAGACGCCTTAATCCACTTGACCATCAGTACCAGTTGTGCTGCTCCTGGGAGTATGGGTTCGAGTCACTTCTGGGGTGTGAGTTTTCAGTTGCATATTGTCCTGGGGACCATTCAGGCTTGTTCGCATATATATATATATATATATATATATATATATATATATATATATATATATATATATATATATATATATATATATATACACTAAGCGTCCTGCAGTCACGGGAGACTATGGTCCCTACACAAACACACACACACACACACACACGCACATGTGAGTACACACACACACGCACATGTGTGTGTGTGTGTAGCAGTAAATAGGTACCTTGGAGTAACAGTAAATAGGTACCTGGGAGTTAGTCAGCTGTCACGATCTGCTTCCTGGGGTGTGTGTGTGGGGGGGGGGGAGAAAATAAGTACTTAGTAAACAGTTGACTGACAGTTGAGAGGCGGGCCGAAAGAGCAAAGCTCAACCCCCGCAAACACAACTAGGTGAATACATGTGTGTGGTGTGAGTGCTCTCCCCCACTCTATTCAACATATATACAGCTGACCTACCCCAACCCCAACATGGAGAATACATCACATACGCTGATGATGTTACCCAAATAATATGCCAACCGGGCCCATCAAAGCCGCTACTAGCCGACAAGACCAAGGCAGCCATTGAACTCATAAACAACTTTGAGAAGCAATGGAAAATTAGCACCAACAAACAAAAGTTCCAAATAATACACATTGCGAAAAGAAACCCTGACCCCATCATCCTTGATAACCAGCCCATCCAATATGCGGAGGTAGGCAGAATACTGGGACTTATGATAAATAGAACAGGGATACAAATTCATGTAAGGGACCGACTAAACAAAGCCAAAGCAGCATTAGGAAAACTGAGAAGATTCCGAAGCCTCAGTACTAACATTCAGATCCACCTATATAAGGCTCTAGTTCGGCCGCATCTAGAATATCCCCCAGTACCACTACACACCATAAAGAAAACTAACATGCAGAAACTGCAAGCAGTACAAAATAAGGCGCTAAGGAGAGCAGCAAAACACCGTCCACCATATGATCAGACAATCCAGGAGCTCCACGAACTCCTGAACATACAGCCACTAAACATCAGACTGCAGCACCAAGCCATCAGGGTATGGAACACCATCGAAATGTTAGAGGACCCAATGTTTGAAAGATTACTCCAAGATGAGACGCCCCGCTCCCACAGCTGGTGGCCCAAGAGCCTCGATTCTCTGGACGAAAACCCCGCCCCACAGTATATAATCCCAAGATGAGTTATATATGTATATATATGAACAGTTCATATATGTGTATGTATGAACAACTCGATAAATAATATGTATGACAACTCGATAAATAATAATAATAAAATAAAGAGCATTAAACAGAATAACGTGTGTGGAAGCATCGGAGTGTCTATATATGAATGCTTCACAGTATTCATCTATGGACATCCATATATGGTGAAACACATGTGAAGAACCTCTCACACACTCACAGCTCCCTGACAAGAGGGAGCCAGCTTAGCTTAGCTGCCAACACCCACACATCGTGTCAGCAAGGCGGACAGCCCGCCTGCTTTCATACCTCTCACTGTATTTCCCACTCCTATACTTCCCTTCACCTATGCCTCTCCTTCCTCTTTACTCCCAAAAAAAAAAAAAAAAAAAAAGTGCGGGGGCAGGGGCGAGTGTGTGAGTGCGGGGGCAGGGGCGAGTGTGTGAGTGCGGGGGCAGGGGCGAGTGTGTGAGTGCGGGGGCAGGGGCGAGTGTGTGAGTGCGGGGGCAGGGGCGAGTGTGTGAGTGCGGGGGCAGGGGCGAGTGTGTGAGTGCGGGGGCAGGGGCGAGGGGGGGGGGGCAGGGGGCACGTCTGCCGTAGGGAGCACCAACGCTGTCAAAGGTACACCCATAACCTCACACCCTTCCCTTCCCTCACTCCACTACAGTTACCAACAACCTCGCCTTTCTCAGTGATCCCGGACCGTCAGGGTAGTGTGAGGGCGTTGTAGTATGAGGGCGGGGGGGGGGGGAGAGGGAGAGAGAGAGCTCATTTCATCTCAGGAAATAAATGAGTCTCTAGGGGCAAGCTTTAGATCAGCCGAGGTAGGAGAACAGCTCTTGTTTGCAGTTTCATTACTTATCTCAATTAACAGCCCTAATGAACCCTAGTCTCAGCTTCGAGAGAGAAAATAATTTGAGTGAGAGACAGACAGACAGACAGACAGACAGACAATGAGTTTCAATATAAACAAGGGTAATTTTAACTGTAACCTTTCAAGTTTACCAAATTAAACTAGCACCTGGTACGAATTGTCGATATTGGTAAAGCCAACTACGATAGTTTCTACGGAATAAGGACTAATTAAAGCCGGCGCATCACAGCGGCTAAAGGTGTCTCAACCGGGACATAAAGGTCTTGACGGACACCCTTCTTGACCTAATATTTATGTGTTCTTGATGCGAATGGTGAAGTTCCTCCATAAACATTGAAAAAGTTTAGACAAGAATTAGTTTGGCAGTAGAGTTGACCTACCTTGTATGGGGGAGTAGTAGTCGACCTACCTTGTATGGGGGAGCAGTAGTCGACCTACCTTGTATGGGGGAGTAGTAGTCGACCTACCTTGTATGGGGGAGTAGTAGTCGACCTACCTTGTATGGGGGAGTAGTAGTCGACCTACCTTGTATGGGACAGCAGTAGTCGACCTACCTTGTATGGGGGAGTAGTAGTCGACCTACCTTGTATGGGACAGCAGTAGTCGACCTACCTTGTATGGGGGAGTAGTAGTCGACCTACCTTGTATGGGGGAGTAGTAGAGCTGACCTACCTTGTATGGGGGAGTAGTAGTCGACCTACCTTGTATGGGGGAGTAGTAGAGCTGACCTACCTTGTATGGGGGAGTAGTAGAGCTGACCTACCTTGTATGGGGGAGTAGTAGAGCTGACCTACCTTGTATGGGGGAGTAGTAGAGCTGACCTACCTTGTATGGGGGAGTAGTAGAGCTGACCTACCTTGTATGGGGGAGTAGTAGAGCTGACCTACCTTGTATGGGGGAGTAGTAGAGCTGACCTACCTTGTATGGGGGAGTAGTAGAGCTGACCTACCTTGTATGGGGGAGTAGTAGAGCTGACCTACCTTGTATGGGGCAGCAGTAGTCGACCTATCTTGTATGGGGCAGCAGTAGTCGACCTATCTTGTATGGGGCAGCAGTAGTCGACCTATCTTGTATGGAACAGCAGTAGTCGACCTACCTTGTATGGGGGAGTAGTAGTCGACCTATCTTGTATGGGGGAGTAGTAGTCGACCTACCTTGTATGGGGGAGTAGTAGAGCTGACCTACCTTGTATGGGGCAGCAGTAGTCGACCTATCTTGTATGGGACAGCAGTAGTCGACCTATCTTGTATGGGGCAGCAGTAGTCGACCTATCTTGTATGGAACAGCAGTAGTCGACCTACCTTGTATGGGGGAGTAGTAGTCGACCTACCTTGTATGGGGGAGTAGTAGTCGACCTACCTTGTATGGGGCAGCAGTAGTCGACCTATCTTGTATGGGGGAGTAGTAGTCGACCTACCTTGTATGGGGGAGTAGTAGTCGACCTACCTTGTATGGGGCTGCAGTAGTCGACCTACCTTGTATGGGGCTGCAGTAGTCGACCTACCTTGTATGGGGCTGCAGTAGTCGACCTACCTTGTATGGGGCTGCAGTAGTCGACCTATCTTGTATGGGGCTGCAGTAGTCGACCTATCTTGTATGGGGCAGCAGTAGTCGACCTATCTTGTATGTACGAGTGAGTCTGCTTTAGTATATTTATGCTTACTCTTTCTTCGTGTGCCTCTTCCTTCGCCGTCTCTTACCTTTCTGACCATCTAATTACAAGTGTGGATCATATTTGCAGGTGCGCAAGACTCATCCACACTGATGATGCAGGAGGGTAGGAGGTGGAGCAGCCACTGGTGTGTGTGACGCCTGCAGCATCCCGAGTTTGGTGCCCGCTTCTCAGTCCTCCTCTCCCGTTGTACCAGTCACAGGAAGCTATCTGTGGTCCCTGCCAGCCACAGGAAGCCATCCGTGGTCCCTACTACCCACAAAAGGATCATCTGTGGTCAAGTCATTCACACCAATCCATCTGTGGTCCCCATCCGCTGCAAGGGGCCATCTGGGGTCCATACCCGTGACAAGGAGCCATCTGTGGCCCCAATGAGTAACCACAAAAGGTGCTCTTGTGCTGACTGGCTCACTCACCACCCGCACACTCACCACTCCCTCAAGCTATCCCACCACCTGCACATCTGCAGGCTGGTGGACACGTCACTTCTCTCTCCACACACTAAATAAAAACGAAGGTATTAAAAGAAGAAGACGCAGAACAGGATTAAACGGTAACTTGCTCATCACAGACTTGTTTCTCGGTGCGAATGATACATAGACGAGCATGAGAGGTGTCCGTCATTCAGGGGATAAGACTAGCAAGGCGTGAGAGTGTCTAGGGCCCGGACTGTAGTGAATAATGCGTCAAAGAGACGCTCAATATATAGATATAAACAGTCATCGGCGAGTCTTCAAGGAGTTGTGGGAGTGTACTTCAGCGCAGTAGGTGAAGGTGTGAGGCCATAGTGGACTTGAGTGTGACAAGAGCGACAGCGAGGAAGTGAAGTGCAAGAGTTATTAGTGATGAGGTGGTCAGGGATGTCCGGGATGGGCGTGCGAGGGCCTTTAATAACGCCCTCACTGGCGCGGGCGGCGGCCTGTTTCCTGGTGGTGGCCGCGGCGACCTGCGCACAACCTGCCCACCCCAGCCACGCCTCCAGTCACCTCCACCACACCACCACCACACTCACGGTAAGATTACCGGGCCTCCATGTTGTTGTTGTTGGTGTGTGGGGACCCCACCAGGGGGCCTCCAGTCACCTCCACCACACCACCACCACACTCACGGTAAGATTACCGGGTCTCCTTGTTGTTGTTGTTGGTGTGTGGGGACCCCACCAGGGGGCCACTTGTCACCCCACCAGGGGGCCACCTGTCACCCCACCAGGGGGCCACCTGTCACCCCACCAGGGGGCCACCTGTCACCACCACTGCTTGTGTTGACGTCACATCAACCACCACTGCTTGTGTTAACGTCACATTAACCACCACTGCTTGTGTTGACGTCACATCAACCACCACTGCTTGTGTTGACGTCACATCAACCACCACTGCTTGTGTTGACGTCACATCAACCACCACTGCTTGTGTTGACGTCACATCAACCACCACTGCTTGTGTTGACGTCACATTAACCACTACTGCTTGTGTTGACGTCACATTAACCACCACTGCTTGTGTTGACGTCACATTAACCACCACTGCTTGTGTTGACGTCACATCAACCACCACTGCTCTCCCAACCACTTTCCAGTGACCTTAACCCTTGCAGTGTACACAGCTACACTACACTTCCTGCAGCCACACAAGTATCTATACTCTCTACAGGCCAGCTTTACTCACATTTTAACTTGAGCAGTCGCGATTGTCATCCAAATAAGAGTGCAGAGCAGCAAATATTAATACTCCGTTGAGTGGGAGGTTGTGTGTATATGTATGTGTGTGTGTGGGGGGGGGGGGGATGGAGAGGGGGTATGTTTGGCACATCGCTTAATTAACACCAAATTAAATCAAATGAATTAAGTACACACTGTTGTCTCATGGTGATCCCCGGGAACACATACAATAGACACTCGACGTCCAGACACCAATCCCCAATCCTGGAGTATGCGGCCCCAGCATGGAGCCCGTACCTTGTCAAGCACAAGGCAAAGCTTGAAAAGTTCAGAGGTATGCCAGTAGACTAGTCCCAGAACTAAGAGGCATGAGGTACGAGGAAAGGCTGCGTGAGTTGTACCTCACTATACTGTAAGACAGAAGAGTAAGGGGAGACATGATCACTATCTACAAAATTCTCAGAGAAATTGACAGGGTAGATAAGGATAAACTTTTTAACACAGGTGGTACGCGAACAAGGGGACACAGATAGAGCCCCAAATTAACCAAAGGGACGTTAGAAAGAACTTTTTCAGTGTCAGAGTAGTTAACAAGTGGAATGCATTAGGCAGTGATGTGGTGGAGGCTGACTCCATACACAGTTTTAAATGTAGATATGATAGAGCGCAGTAGGCTCAGGAATCTGTACACCAGTTGATTGACAGTTGAGAGGCGGGACCAAAGAGCCAAAGCTCAACACCCACAAGCACAACTAGGTGAGTACAATTAAGTGAGTATACACACACACACACACACACACACACACACACTTTGGTCCTCTTGCGGGACCAAAGAGCCAAAGCTCAACCCCCGCAAGCACAATTAGGTGAGTACACACACGCACACACACACACACAGTGGTCAACTGCACAGTAGTGCAGTTTGCGGGATCCAAGAGTCAATGCTCGATCCTGCAAGCACATATAGGTGAGTACACAGTAGTGGGATGTACAATGTAGCTCACACTTTTATTTTTTTTTAAAGTAGGGCTGATGGCTTAAGGAATTTTTCGAGGGGAAATTAAAAGAAAATTCAGAGTTTAGTTTAAGACTGAAATTTTTCAGAAACCATTTTTGGAGAATATGTTCATAAAAGTTTTGTTAAGGAAAATAGACCCTTATCAGTAACTTTTTGTTTGTGTCCATTTTTAAGACCGATTTTTTTTAAGACCGAGTACAGTTTAAGACCACAACTTGTCAGAGACCAGATTAAGACCAAATTTTTTCAAAGTTCAGTTTAAGACCAAAATTTGTTGGAGTTTTAATCCTCACTGAGATCTTAAAATATGTTTTTTTTATTAACACATGAGGTACATCTGCATTAGTGCAGTTACCCTAGACTATATGAAGTGAAGTACAGTGTGTCAAAAAAGCTAACAATGTGTTGCTAAAAAATCCCCATCACACAGGATGGTTAGTCATACAGAGGCATGTGATGGGCAGTCTGCACTGGCAGACACCGGATGCATTTTGAGGATATCATCAACACAAAAGTGAATAAGGTAGCAGTGGTAATAAAGGTCTTAAAATAGTTCTTAAAGATATAATTAAACTCTACGGAATTGAGCAGATATTTATAAGTGCATCAGAAGTTAGTTCTTGGACCTGATTCTCTACATTTATAAATGTAGTTTCGCTGTTAACCGATCAATTTCCCTGAAATTTTAAACAGAGTTATTTTCAACATAGTAATACAAGAAAATCGAGTTACCAAGTTCTAGCTCTCGTCCTCCGCCTTAGTTTACTCCCGTAGATTCCATAATAAAATTCCAGGCCCTTGAAATTTAAACTCGCTGTATTTCTGACATAGTAAAATAGATAAAAGCAATTACCATGCTCCAGCTCTTGTCCTCCACCATACTTTACTCCTACAACTCCATTATTAACCAATTAAGTTCCCTAAGTTTAAAAAAAAGAAATTAAGTTCTCACAACTCTGCTATTATCTGATCAATTTCCTTAAGATTTAAAATGGAGTTATTTCAGATATAGTAAATATGATCAAGTCAGTTACCAAACTGTAGCTCCTGTCCCCTGCCTTACTTCATTCGTATAACTTTACTACTATCAGCCCAAATCCCATGATATTTAAAACAGTCATATTTCAGAGTAAGTAAAGAAAATAAAGTTAACGAGTTCTAGCTCTTGTCCTCTGCCTTACTTCATTCGTACAACTTATTTACTATCTGTCCAATCCCCCTTATTCACAGCATATTCTCTGTACAACTTCATTCTCTTTCATGTTCTCTCCAAGTTCAATCCATCACATAGTCTTACATGTTCTCTGTGTTCAACACATTTTTTTACATATCCTCTGTTCTTTGCATGCTACATATCATATTTTTGCATAACTCATATGTAAATACACATAACAATGTCTCCGTTCTTCCTTTACCTGCCCTAATGTGTTATCCGCTCATCTTGTTATCCTTTCTTACAATATTCCTCCATCCATCCTCTTCCTGTTCTTATCCGTTTATCGCATTCTCTTACAGGATTCTCTGTTCACCTTGTTACTAATTCTTTAAACCAATTGTTTCTGCCATTCAATAAGTAGCTCATTGTTATGTATTATCAACAGCACAATCACTAATTCTCAACAAGTTACTACAAAGTATTTATTTAGACAGTCACCCAGTTTTATTTTAAAAAACTATGTCAATGTAATTCTCTTCATCAACTTATTATTTCTTACCAGCACAGTTCTTAAACAAATCTGCACTTTATACAGTAATAAATGTACTAAGATAATCTTTTCTTAATGTTCCTTAACTAAACTTATTCATCAATCAACTAAAAATAGTCATCTTCATTATTTTTTCATCATTTCGTAACTAAAATTATTCGTCAGTCAACTAAAAATAGTCACTTTCAACATTTATTCATCATTTTTAATTATAATAACACCTCTCTCAACGGAAAATAGTCAAGTGTAACTTCTTTTCAACAGTTTAACTTCCATTATTCGCTGCAGAGTAAGAAAAAATAGTGAAATGTAATTTCTTTTCATCATTTAACTAAAAATAACCCTTCTCTCGACTGAAAATAGCCAAAGGAAACTTTCAACACTGTTCATAACTAACATTATGTGTTGTTAAGTATGAAAAATATAAAAAAGATACTATTCAAGATATGAATAACACATTCAAAGACAACAAATAATACTATTCATGCTAACAAAAGTTATTCTCAGTCATCAAAAGTAATCTCTAACTCACCTTCATTCATCACAAAAATGTATTTGCGTGTTGACTAAGTTTATACAATTTTGTGCAAGTTTGGAAAAGTGGCTAAGTTAATGAACAGAGTATTTGATTAAGTTGTATAAGTTTGTATAAATTTATGCCAGTTTGTAAAAGTAATTGCATGTGTAACTGAGATTTTGACACATATATATATATTTATATTTTGAGTAAGTATTTATGCAATTTATGTAAAAGTGTTTTATGGGTATTTTATGCAGATCTGTATATATTTAAGAATGAGATATTTAAGTTCAAATTTGTAACTTTAAGTGTAAAAGAGGGTTGTCTGTGTAAATAAATGAAGATTTAATGTTTCAGAGAGAATAAGATGATTCTTAAGTAAAGTTACATTATGTAGGAGAGGGAAGGTAATTTAAGTTCAGTTAAGTTAGCAGGTTAAGTAAGTTATGTCAGGTTAGGATGGGTAAGTTAGGTCAGGTAAAGAAAGTTACAGTAAGTTATGTTATGATAAATTACTGTAGGATAGGCTACTACAGGTAAATCAGGATAGAAAAGTTACATTAGATATGCTTGATAAGTTACCTCAGATAGGGTGGAAATAGATAAGTCGTGTTAGGATAGGTAAGTTACGTTAGGATAGGCTAGTACAGGTAAATAAGTTAGGTTAGGTTATGTAAGATAGTAAGGTTAGGTTAGGTTACATCAGGTAGGGGAGGAATAGGTAAGTTGGACTAAGTAAGTTACATTAGGATAGGTTAACTCAGGCAAGTCAGATTAGGTTAGGTAAGTATGGGTAAGTAGGGTTGGGTTTGTAAGTTTTGGTAAGTTATATTAGGGTAGGGTAATACAGGTAATTCATAGTAGATAGGGTTATGCAGTGGTGTTCAGAGAACGGTTTTTAGATAAAGTGGCTAAGAATATATATATTTTAACAGAATAATTACTAAACAGAAATGAAAGTTAGTCACAAAAAGGTGAACTAGTTACTTAAAGAGCTGTGTTTTGTGATATTTTAAACGGTATTAACGAGGTTTGATTGCAAATGTCTTAGGGAAAGCTGTTATGACATAAGTCAGTGTTTTTAATTTATTTTTACTTGAAGCCTAAGTTTA